TGTGAGTGTGTGTGTGTGTGTGTGTGTGTGTGTGAGTGTGTGTACAGTCGGCTTGTATATCTTCAAAATGAACCCTCATCCGTCTGGATGCATCAAGACTGTGAAGAGCAGATTCGACTCCTGCCTCTGATCCTGCTGCCGTTGGTTTTCCCTGACGCTTCGTCGTTAGAAAGTGTTTTGCGTTCGTTTCAGTCGGCGAAATGTCTGGATGATGTCTGCCATCCACTGAAGGAATTCACAAGATTAGTGCCGATTTGCTGGTTTTTACAGATTTGCTCGACGCAGCAGATCACTGACATCCTCATGAATACTATAATGAGCCTAATTTGCATATTAATGAGGCGAGTCTGCTGTGATTGGCTGAAATGCTCCTGCTGTATAAATGAGACGCGAGTGTATTTTTGGTGTAAATTGTATAACATATTAAATATAAGATATGGATGAATGACGTCACAGCCGTGATCATCATCATCGCGATCCAAAGCTTCTCATCGCTCGCTCTTTACGCATCTGTTCCTTTGGTTTTATTGTGTTTTTAATATTGTTTGTTTATGCTGTAAATATTGGAGGTGTGCTGTGATATTTATTCAGGACAATCATCTTGTACTGGTTCTTGAGTTCATATTGTACATGATCAAATATACTGAATGGATCAACAAGCGTCTGCCTGCTCATAACTCTAATATATCTATTTCTTTGTTTATGCATTTACTCTAATATATCTATTTCTTTCTAGTTTTTTGAGATCATGAACTTGTTTAACTGTCCGTGCGAAATCTTGCTAAATGTCCATGTAGAAAATCTCACACAGGTTTATAAAGTGAATTCAGCAATACTTTACGTGTAATGCGCTATATCTTTTCATAAGTAACTGTAACCAAAGTTAAAATGCATTATAATATTTGAAGGATTTTTTGCGGTGTTTTAATGCATTATACTTCCTAAAGGTGTAACAATGAATATATAATTATTATAATGCATTATAACTGTGATTACCATTATTCATGAGATCATACAATGCATTATAAGGCATAATTAATGCATTATATATAAAGGGTTACCATGAACCCATAACAATTGCATTTATATCAAAAATTACATTAAGGTCCCATTAGTTAACATTAGTTAATGCATTGACTAACAATGAACAATACATTTGTTACAGTATTTATTAATGTTAGTTAAGAATACAACTGTTCGATGCACTGCATATATATATATATATATATATATATAGTTTTGCTTTCCAGTACAAATTGCGAAATCTTGCTAAATGTCCATGTAGAAAATCTCACACAGGTTTATAAAGTGAATTCAGCAATACTTTACGTGTAATGCGCTATATCTTTTCATAAGTAACTGTAACCAAAGTTAAAATGCATTATAATATTTGAAGGATTTTTTGCGGTGTTTTAATGCATTATACTTCCTAAAGGTGTAACAATGAATATATAATTATTATAATGCATTATAACTGTGATTACCATTATTCATGAGATCATACAATGCATTATAAGGCATAATTAATGCATTATATATAAAGGGTTACCATGAACCCATAACAATTGCATTTATATCAAAAATTACATTAAGGTCCCATTAGTTAACATTAGTTAATGCATTGACTAACAATGAACAATACATTTGTTACAGTATTTATTAATGTTAGTTAAGAATACAACTGTTTTCGATGCACTGCATATATATATATATATATATATATATAGTTTTGCTTTCCAGTACAAATATCTAAACATTTTTAAAGAAATATACATTTACATGCAAAATGACTTAAGATATTAAGTATTAATTTCTGAAAAATTTATTAAAATTAAGCAAAATTATTCTCAAAACAAGAACAAATATTTCCCAGTGGGGTCAGAAAAAGAATCTTGTTTTCCTTTTGAATTAAGTTTATTTTTCTGACCCCACTGCCAAAATAATTTTAATTCATTTATTTATTTATTTTTTGTTTTAAAAATGTATCTTCTTGATTTAAGGATGTTTAGATATTTGTAGTGAAAAACAAGACGTTTTTGCAGTGTGTTCATATTAGCTCAACTCCATTAAATAATATTAACAGATGCAACATTTGATTTTAATAATGTATTAGTAAATGCTAAAAATCACATTAAGTAAGATTAATAAATCCTTTAGAATTATTTTAGTTAATAAATGGAACCGTATTGTAAAGTGTTACCCAAAACTTTATTAAATGACACAAGGCTTCAGTCAAAGATTTTCATCAGATGATTCAAAGACATGATTTTTAAATTGAAGTTACAGCAGTTTGAAACTGGGAATAATAAAAGGGTTCAATCATACAGTTTAAAGGGTTGATGAGATTGTCATCATTTACTCACCATCATGTGGACAAGATTCTGAATGAAAATTTAGAGGAACGTTTTTACACAATGAAATTGAATGTGGATAAATGCATCAAATAATTGCATCATAACAGTAGTTCTACATCTTCTGAAGCCACATGAGAGTTCTGCGTGAGGAACAGACACACATTTAACTGAAGAAGATTCACTCAAAATGACTTTTGTGTGACTCAGAAGAGCATGAGTCAAGTGAACTGCTGTGATGACGCTTTATTGTCAGACAGTGATCACTGTAACACACTAGTAACATCATGAGGGTGAGTAAACCTACACTCTAAAAAATGCTGGGTTAAATACAACCCAGTGCTGGGTAAAATAGGGACAAACCCAGCAATTGGGCTGTTTTGACCCAGCGGTTGGGTTACTACCCAGAAGGTTGGGTTAAACATTTACCCCAACCGCTGGGTCAAAACAGCCCACTTGCTGGGTTTGTCCCTATTTTACCCAGCACTGGGTTGTATTTAACCCAGCATTTTTTAGAGTGTAGAGTTCTGGAGAGTTTCTCAGTCCTGCTCCTGAAATGTTTCTCAGCGCTGAATTTGAATCGTATAGATGTGAAGAGAAACCGCACTCCTTTAGAGATGAAAACAGGAATCATTACAATCACAATCCATCCATCGCAGATCACAGGAATGTTCTCAGAATGTTCTCTCAAAGTTACGAGCAAACGTTCTCTGGTCTTAAATAATGTTCTCAAAACATTAGCAAAAAAACCTTATTTATACATTAACATAACGTTTAAATCTGAAACATTTTAGTTGAACATTCATCTAGCGTTTTTTAAATGTTACTTGTTTCATAGAACATTCAAAAGTAACATTCTCATAATGTTTGAAAAATGATCAAATGGAATGTTCCCTTATTAACGTGCACATAATGTTTTAAAAACAATAATAAAAATAAAAAAACATGTTTTGAATGTTTGGAGAACATTAAGATATAATGTTTTCATAACAAAATGGGAAAATTCTTAGCGCGTATTTTAGTTTTTTTTTTATAAAAGAGTGTTTAATGAGAGTTTGTTCAGCCGAGAACATTTAAACTGCAGCAGATTGATTTGAGCTTCAGAAACACTAATCATTATACAACTGCTGTCAGATGTTATTGCTGATTGATAAATGTCACTGAAATATCATTGACAGATATTGGTCTTAGAAGGCTGTTTGAGTGTCTGCTCATGAAAGTACACATAAACCGATCCAAAAGAGCTTCTAATGATTCTTACTTCTCTCTGTGGACCAGCAAAGACACATACAGATTCTGATCATTATGAGGCTTCTGTTAATGAGCTTTTGAGATGAACTGTGCGTTTGATGAGGGACACAACCAACATCTGTCACGCTGGAGATCCAAGAACACATGCACGGCTCACACCTCACGGCTGCATTTGATACTGTTGACCGTAAGATCTTGATTACACACTTAGAACAATGTGTTGGTACTGCATTGGGATGGTTTAGATCCTATTTGTCTGATATAAAATATATTTATAGTTATTTTTCAGTTTGTTTTGGAGAGTTTGTCTCCTTATCAAGCGAGCTTCACTTTCACTGTTCCTCAGCGGAGGAATGATCTTCACAAGCCTCCAGAACATCTCACATCTTCTGAGGAGCCTTTATTTCTTCAGCTCTCAATCACTGCATTATATGTTTGGAGCATTTCAATCTCATCTTATTATTACTGGAGATATAGAGCCACGACTGATATTTAGATCATTTTATGTCAGTATCTGCTCTACTGTTATAAAGATCTCACTGATTTACATCACAAGCATCAGAATTTTATAAATATCAGCATCTGCAGCAAATTCATATTTTAGCTGAGTTTGAGTCTCTGAATAAAATTGAGCTTCATATGAGCCATAAAAGCCAAATATGATACAAAACATAAAATACATATGCAAACTTTAAGATTTGTATCTGTAAGCACAGTTAAGTTAATGATTCTCATAGAGTAGTTTGTGCATTCAGTCAATAATTATTTCACCAGCTCATTTGGCTTGGAGATGCAGAGAGCTCTGTGTGAGTTATTATAATATTAATACAGCTTCATTTGTGTCTGAACTATAGTGCAGCACCACCAGAGGGAGACATGCTGAAGCTGTTTGGGCTCCTTATTCATTAAGCAGAAACTTCTATTCAAAGCGACTTACAAATGAGAAATGCAAGCAATTGTTTTCTTTTTATGTCCATTAGTTCCTGCTCTCGTTAGTTAGTGCCCACAATTGTTTCATTGTTTTTCATTACTTAATGAGGAAGTTTCAGTACTTCAGTTCTTCTGTGATGTTTCTCAAGTCTCCTGAGCTTTGCGTGACATTTTGTCTCGTCTTGTTGGTCTCCTGATTCTGCATTTGGTCCAAATTCTCCAGCACTTAGTGAGTTTAAATCCAGAGTTTCATTAGTTGAGGGTCCTTCTTCCTCTCGAACACACATTATTCAGCACTGATTGCTGCATCATTAAAGAGAATCACAAAGAAATTCAAGCATAACCCGTCTGCGCTCGTGAAGACTCTGCCGTTTGATTTGTGTTTGTGCTCGTTAAGACGGACTGTAATGAGGGAAGCGAGTGTGAGTTTGTAATCAGAGCTTGAGCTGGACATTCCACAGGGTTAACACTAGTTTAAATATAACCCACATCAGCGGCCGAGCCAACACAGGCCTCCAGAGCATTCATCTCTCCAGTCTGTCTGGAAATACGGATGAACATCTTGGAACTGAATATCGTTTATTGTCCCATTTTTGGGAAATTTGTCAGATTGTTCCAAAGCAGCTTCACATTAACAACATTTAAAATAATGTTGCATAATTCATTTTAAATAAACTGTAAAGCAGTAGAGGACAACAGTGTCATTACTCATATGGCAAAAAAAAATAATAAATAAATATATATATATATATATATTATTATTATTTATATTATTAATAATAATATGTTTTCATATTATTAATGTTTATAATAATAATAATATATTTTCATTTTAAATAGATTTCAAAATATACACACAAAAAAATGGCCCCAAAAAAAAATTGCTAAAATGTGTTTCAAATTATATTTACGTAAATATATTTTCTACCAATATTGTTTGTGGGTATTTTTCGTAGGCTACTTTTTTATTTATTTTTTACTTTTTTTAATATCTTAGATTTTAATTAATATATAGGCCCAACTGTAAGATTCCAAATGTATTTTCTTGCCCCTAAAACACATTTTGAAATATATTTTCGTATATGAAGGTTGAAACTCAATATATTTTCGATTTCAAAAACCTATATTTCATCGAGCTGCACTGTTTACGACATACTGTATGTTTAGCATGTTTTAAAATATTTATTTGTCAGGGGAAAAAAATACGATTAAAAAATGCGATTACAATCGGCATACGTTTATAGTTGCTACGATTATGAGCTTAATAGGATCAGTTTAATCGAAGCGTTGTGTTTATGTGGTAAATTTAATCGCAATATTGGCTCGGATTTATTATAATTGCATGCAAACGCAGTCAATGTTTCCGTGGAAATGTGTCTAATAGATTTCGGTAATATTAATTGTGCTACACACATAATTTCGATATGAGATGTAAATACTGTGGCGTTTTCTCGGCTCTGCGCATGCGCGGTGGAGCGAGGGGAGGGAGGTAAACAAGATGGCGGCAGCCTTGAAGCAGTAGCGGCTGTGAGGAACAGATGTGAGAAAATAAGCGACTGAGGAGCAGAAGAGGAGCAGAAACGCGAGTGTTCGTGTCTCGTCGAGCCGTGCCGGTGATCGCAGCCTCAGGTCGGTGAGTTTGTTGCTTATTTTCTGTCAGAGATGAGCGTTAGCCGCCGCTAACCGAACACGCTCGTCAGCGTCGACACAAACAGCGCGTTCAGCGCACAAACTCCCTCTTAAGCCCTATTCGCACAGGATTAGTATTACCTGGTGACCTCCAGTCATTTGTAATAATTGCGGAGGTTGTCTGTGATCTTAATCCCGTGCGAATCGGCCATGTCTGTAATTTGTAAAGTAAAAATTCCCCCGCAAAAGACCTACCATATTTCGCCGAACACCGAGGTCCTGTGATAATATTAGTCCCGTGCGAATCGGCATCTCTGTGATTCGGCCAGCATTTGGCGGGTCGCATATCATTTTTCGAGATTTTTGTTTCCTTGAGATACTATTTTAACCTGGTGAAATGTAAATGTCACAGGGCACGAAACTATATTAATTTCTTTTCTTTTTTTTAATCCATCTGGACCATAGAACGGGACTCTCAAAGCCTTGACATCCGGGTATCCGGGAGATAAGTCAGTAAATTCGAGTAAAATCACAGGCTTTGCTTATCCCGTGCGAATGCACCACACGAAATTCAGAGGTGGGGGGTTAATTTCAAAATCACACAAGGTCCCCAGATAATACTAATCCCGTGCGAATAGGGCTATACACACACACACACACACTCACTCACACACACACACCGATGAGCTCCAGGCTTAATTTGATCGATCACCCGCGTCACATCAGCAAACATCGGCGTTTGAGCTCGTCTGCTGGACTCATTGCGGTCTGTGTTTGTGTCTCTCTGGTTTAATATTAGCACCCAATCACAACATTACTGTGCTATCAGACGGTAAAACTGTGGTACTTTGTGATTACCGCGCTCTGTTTACATCATACTTCAACCAATACTATGGTAACTAATGCTAATTCATAGGTGTGTCAGAGAATGTGGTTTTCAGGGCTGTATTAGCTGCCGCAGCTTATATTCCCTCCGTGTGGATCATTAGTGATGATTTGAACACGTCACTCGGACTCATTTACTGTAACACAAACTGCTGGATCAGCGAGTGTAGTGCTGAGATCAAGGGGTTAGTTAGCTGGTTAGTTAGTTAGTGGACGGTTAATGTCCTTCTCCACACCTGTCAAGTCGGTTTTAGTTATGAAGCACTTTTCAGAGCAGCTTTACAGAAATCATGATGTTGACAAATGTCAGTTTTTAGATGTTATGTGTCCAAAAGTACAACATTTCTGGAATTAATGAATGAACTTATTTATTGTGTTTGTTGATTGATTGATTATATTTATTTATTATGTTTTATTTATTTACTTATTGTATTTATTTATTTTTATTGTATTTATTGTTTATTTATTTACTTATTTATTGTGTTTATTTTTTATTGTATTTATTTATTTATTATGTTTTATTTATTTACTTATTGTATTTATTTATTTTTATTGTATTTATTGTTTATTTATTTACTTATTTATTGTGTTTATTTTTTATTGTATTTATTTATTTATTATGTTTTATTTATTTACTTATTGTATTTATTTATTTTTATTGTATTTATTGTTTATTTATTTACTTATTTATTGTGTTTATTTTTTATTGTATTTATTTATTTTTATTGTTTATTTATTTATTGCATTTATTTATTGATTGATGATATTTATTTATTTATTGCGTTTATTTATTTACTTATATATTTTATTTATGTATTTATTTATTGTTTATTTATTCATTTTTCCAGATATGTTTGACATACATTTTGAACCAGATACTATAATAATTACATTTGGAGTTTCTGAAGGTATTTTTTTTGCGGCTGACAGCACAACAGTTGGTTTCATATTAACTCATTTCTGCCAAAAACAAACAAAAAACAAAATCTTTCTTTTGATTTGGAAGAAAAAAATATATCCCAATTTTACTAGTATATTAGAATGAAAAAGAATTAGGTATATCTTAATGGACAAAATTTGTTATTTATGTCTTCTCTTCAAACTGGTGATATTTTTTATGTTTTCATTTTCTGCTTTTACTCTTGGACAGTTTTTGGGTGAGAGTTGTGTGTGTTTTCTTTCTGGTTTGTAATTTTTTTTATTTTTTTTTATTATGTTCTTTCTCTCTATTTGTTTACTTTTAATCTTTCTGTGCAATTATTATTATTTTATGTGAATCTTTGTTTCATCCATGTTTGTTATAATGTCAGTTTTATGTTTTTGCACTTAAAAAAAAAAGTGGTTACTCCAAATAAAAAAACAACAACATTTTAACACAGATGTTAATATTTATAATATCTAATTATCTCCATGCCTTATAACTGCATTGATCAGATTAGTGCTGAACGATAATAGTGTTACATTTGTGACGATATAAGCGATCAAGCAGGTGAGATTTGCTACATAGTATCTCTTCGTTTGAGTGTGTGTGCTACATGCATGAGTGTATTATATATCCAATCTGAAATATGTCACTGTGATATATATCTGTTACAGTGATATAATAGCTGTTGTTCCTCTGGTGGGACACTTACATCCTCTAAAAATCACCGTCTGATTCAAACACAGTGAGACTTCACATGATAAAGAGAACAGATCTTGCAGCGTTTTATATGAGATATGTGTTCCTGGAGCACAAAAGCAGTGTTAAGTCGCTGGGGTATATTTGTAGCAATAGCCAACAATACATTGTATGGGTCAAAATTATACATTTTTCTTTTATGCTAAAAATCATTAGGATATTAAGTAAAGATCATGTTCCATGAAGATATTTTGTAAGTTTCTTACCGTAAATATATCAAAACTTAATTTTTGATTAGTAATATGCATTACTAAGAACTTCATTTGAACAACTTTAAAGATGATTTTCTCAATATTTAGATTTTTTTGCACCCTCAGATTCCAGATTTTCCACCAGACTTTATAAGTTAGGACAGAAATAATTGCAGCTGCTTTAAATAATAACGTGTTTCTCCCATGAGAGAACACTTCATCTTCTCCAGCTAAAGTCTTCATCGTTTCAGATATACTCAGTATTTCAAATATCTTTAGACGTGTTTTCCCCGAACACACACACACACACACACACACACACACACTGACAAACGTCTGCCAGATTCCAGGAGGTCAAAGGCCAACATGTGCGGCCTATGAAGTGCACTCACTGACCAGCATCATGTGTAACACAATCTGCTGCACATCAGAAACGGTTTCACACAAGCAGACAGAATGACTGATGACTTCAGAAACTGATGTGTGCTTGCTTTTCTGCATGTGCTACACAAGTGTTTTCCATCTCTGCATTTAGAATATTTTGATAAACTAGCATGCATTTATGTATATGTATTTCCGTGTTGATGCAAACGCCGGTCAGACCATCAGTGCAGGTAAAGTGTGTCTGATATTTCGTCACATGTCGGTTGCCATGGGAGATAAAGTCCCGTCTGTCTCTCCAGCAAATCAGCGTTTTCATTTTCAGAGGAAATGAGCAGCTTTATTATGTGCTGCTTATGCAATCAAACTGTGTGTGTGTGTGTGTGTGTGTGTGAGAGAGTGTGTGTGTGTGTGTGTGTG